TGAAAAACAGTAATTTCACCTTTTATCCGATTAAGTGTCTTTTGTAAACGCTACGCACGAATGTTCCGATCACGTCTATATTTCGCGATCATAAATTACATCAACTCGCTAACAGCACGCTTTGAAATTAGCGTTGTAACGTGGTCGAGCGTTGCACCGGGGAATAACAATGTCCCCGGCTCACGTGCGCACGTGTATTTATACCAGGCATTGTGTGCATCTAATTTCGGAACAATGTTGACGTCATTTCCGTTTTCATTTAATCCGCTGATGACTATATGAAATGTTTGGACATTGCAGATCATATATATTAATCAGTATGCATTTATGATCACAGCTCCTGCGACAGCAAAACATTGTATCTGTGAGCAAGGACATAGCATGTTACAAAGTTTGATGAAGGAGAGATAGGAGCAGAGAGAGACAGACAGAGCGAGAGAGAGAGAGAGAGAGAGAGAGAGAGAATTGATTACAATAATATTTTTGAAAGCTTCCCTACGTAATATGCACTTCTTACATATCTTTTTCATTTTTAAAATATTACTATCACATATTCTCAATAAACGTATTTTTTCTATAAATGTTGCTTATAAAATTGTAAAATTGCAGAAAAAAATTATTACATTCCTATCAGAAGAATAGAAAATATCACAAATTTTTCTTTTCTTTTACAGACGTAAGCAAAACACGTTTGTAAAAGAAAGACTCAGCGATGTTTTGCGTGCATCATCACTCGTAATCGCGCGTCGCAGACAGTTCAAGATTCATCGCGATTCGCGAAGTGCCGGTGAAATTAGCGTTTCGTGGTCAAATGTTTCACGACGGAAGTAACAATGTGCGCCCGCGCTCGACGCGCCGACAATCATGCTTGTGACCGTGGTATCGGTGCACGTACGTGGCATTGTGTTAACCGTTAAGCATTTGATACGGCCACCTTCCTGTCGCGCGTCCCGTCGCGTCGCCGCGTCGCGGTGCTATTGTCGCCGGTGCGTTCGCGTTGTAACCGAGCCGCGTTGTTTCTCCGTGTGCGATACGATCCGATACGCCCAACGCCCGTGTATCACCGACGACGAGTGTGTGACGCACGTACGAAGAGCCGCACTTAGAACGGCGTGCATACTGAAGTGGCCGCGTACGAAAACGAAGCTACAAGCTCGACGAAAGCGGACGTGCGTGTGAGTCGAGATATGATAAAATGTAAAAACGAGATAAGGAAAAATATATAGGGAATACGGAGTATAAAACTGAATCTCGAGAGAGTGTCTTCGTGAACGACAGAGTATGAATATATTTTATGGTTGAAACTCGGTAAAAAAATAATCGAAACTCAGTAAAAAAATATTCTCGTTAGGATGTTATATTAACATTAATTGTTTAAATAATTAAAGAACATTAAAGTAAGATTATTAAAAAAATTAATTGTTAAAATACTAATTAAATATTTATCATGTATATAAATTAGTAATATAAAAAACTTATTTTGTAAATCTTTAATAATAATAAAATAATAAAATCTTCTTTTTTATCCTGTTTAATCTACAATGCACTATCATTTTTTTATTTAGTTTACAAATAACCTTAGGATCACAAATTTTTATGCATTACAAAGGAAAAAAAAATTTTATTTGCAATGTACAAATATAAAAGTTTTTATTAAAAAACTTCGTGTTTAGCGATTGCCGTCTACACTTGTGAGTATTCAACAATAATACGTAAAAGAATGGAATAAAAAGTTGACCTACATTGAGACAAAGTTAACAATAAAATTTTAACGTTGTTGCGATGATCTTTACTCGAACTTTATGTTTACGTGTTTTTTTTTAAAGCTTATATTTTCATATTTTATTTTCATAGTCAGTCTCTCATTTATTGCATTCAAAAAAAAAAAAAAGAAAATAAAAAAAGACCAAAAATATACACTCGTTTGCAATTGGCTCTTTGTAATTGTTTTGCCAATGGCTCTGTTTGCATACGACCTTATACACATAATATAAGAGCGATAAGCGCGAGTGCGTGGGATTCGACGACGACCATTCACGGACGCTTACGCAGTGCACCTTCGACCGTTCCCGCGAACAAATTGGTAAAATCTTGAATTCGCAAAGTTTCAATTGGAAACCCAGTACATCTGCATATTCGACTTTCGCACGTTTCGACCGTGAACCATTAATAGTTCTATCCGATAGATAATCGATTCCGATAATTGCACGACGCAATAACTCAAGCATGACCATACGACGATGCCTATTGTTTGCAGAAGCGCAGGTTTCAGTTGATAATGATCAGCATACGGCGCGTGTGGATATGACGATGATGATCGTTTGGATAGAGTGAGCGCGATGGGAGAATGCATAGGGAATGTGCATAGAACGCATCCGCATAACCGGATATGAATGTATTAATTATTGAAGACGAAACAGACGGCCGACCGCGCGATGGATATAAAAACACCGCGGAACAAACAGCCGCGGAACTCGTGGATTATTTTGGGGCTGCAATTACATTTTTTATACAGCAATCCGATGTTGCGTCTGCCCGGTGCAACAGTCGTACGCCGCCACAAAGCGCATCTACTATTCGGATCGAATTAATATTGCCCGTTTTACTTTGAATATAACGCATGTCAAAGTAAAAACAAAAACGCTTTGTTGTCAAAGAACTAGTGAAATAAAATATCGCCCGCTACAAAATATTGTAATTTTAGATAATTGTTTCGACGATTATTGTTTCGAAATCGTGAACGTGTTATTACATTTTGTTTCAATAGACTCTTCGAGCTTTTTATTACGGCGCATTTTTGAATACGCATTTGTAACCCTTGAAACTCGTTAAAATTGTGCTATTTTCGCAGCAATATTGCAATACAATTTATGAATTTAATTGTGCACCATGATGAAAAACCGGATCTCTTTTAAGAACGTAAATCGTTTTAATACGGCGTGATTATACCGCGTTTATCAGTGAGAATACGATGATAAATCTCGAAATATATATATTTCATATAACTTGTAGATTCTTTTAACATTCTCTACGTACGATAACAATTAATTTCTTAAGAATTTTCGGAGCAATTTATGAATAAGAGAAATATATTGGCAATGCGAATAAATAACATTAACAAATGCAAAGCAGTATTCACAAATAGGCGGATTTATAAATGGTAGAATTTGGCTCATTGCCAAGCTACTTAAAATTTCAACAATACATAACACCTCGAAAATCAATACAGACGATTCATAACTTTGCACGAAACGTGCATCTTAATTCTGGCTCCTGTAACTCTCGGCAACAAGATTAAAATGAGCTTAAATTTATAAAGACGTTAATATGAAATTTCATCGTAACGATGTAAACACTTTACTGATACTCTTAGCCAGCTTTTCAACATTATGCACTTTTATTATTATATAACTACTATTATTATTATCATTATTATTATTATTAGTTCCTTTTTGGGGAGAAGCATCAGCTTTTATTTCCTAAACTGCACATCGTATTAAAAATTCGTGTTAAATAGATAATTTTGTATTTTTATTGACCTCGTTATTGACTCTTACGCTACAAAATAGCGTGATAATAATTTAACATCATACTTTGCGTTTTTGTGAGCAATTTAAAAAATTCAATTGTAGGATTAAAAATCAAAATTATGCAATCATTTGTTTGTAATTCTATTTATGATAATATCACGGAACATAATATATATAATATTTCGTGCCATGTTAATATAAATCATTCACAAATATCGAATATTATTTTTTCATATAAACGATATCTTTATAAATATGTTATAACTTAGCCAATTTATTCAACTAGCCGCGAAATTGACTAAAGTGACCTGTTTTCGTCTATTGTTACGTAGCACACGTATTAAGCTTCCGGGAAGCACGGCGTGATAATACATATCGCTGGTAGAGTAGCTATTCCCAGTATTGCTCCAATATGAAAGTCAGTGCCCGACGGTACGGTCGTCATTAAAAAACTCAGTCAAACACCACGTATTTAAAGTTTATTAAACACGACCATTCTTCGGCGCCACATAGAAATTCAATTTCGTTCCTGCGAAGCGTAGGATTACGAGATCGCGAGGCTACTACTATTCGGTGCAATCGAGGTCCAACTACGTAAACGGCACACGAGCACATTTTTATCTAGCCGCGACCGCAGTGTGCAATCAGAGAAGCGCCCGTTGACTCGTGACGCTTCCGGTTCAGGCTTCCGGTCCACGGAACCGCACCGTTTCCGTTCGGCTGCCCAGCCCACCGATCCCAACCGCCGACCGTCGTGGTATATCGAGGCTCCACGTTCGAGGAGCGGTATCGAGATCAGTGCTAACGCTTCGTCACGAGAATGCAAGGACGGAATACTTGCGCGCGCCCGGATAATTAGTTTCAAGTGGTATTCACTGTGGTTGCGGAGAATCAAATTGCCGTGCATGTGATCCGCGAGTAATGTCGGTTATTTAACCTACCGATGTGCGAGTTGCAGGATTAACGAATTTATTTATTATTTGGAAAAGATTCGCTAATCAGTGCTTCGATGTAGTAACTTCATTTGAGAAGAAAGTTGCGACTTGTTGCGGCTAATTTCAACGAGCATTTGAGTTTTGAGGAATCAAGAAAAATAGTGTTAATAGTGAAGCTGACGTTAATATAATAATTAATTTTATATTATTGTAGTAAGCTTATTAAATCCACGCACGTTTTTTGTGTCTTTTTTTTAAATTTGTGATGTATATTTATGAAAAAAGCGAGGATCGTTTACAATTTATATTCAACGCTGGTAAGCTACGTATATCTTCCCTAAGCTTTACAGCAAGATACTCCGCATTATCCTTAACAAGAATGTGAAATTCATGTTGTGGGATGATAACAAATGGTGTACATCGCTTCAACACTCGCAGCCGCAGTAGGGCAAGAAATTTATTGTGAGGACAACTCTAAAATTAGGGATCGCAATGATCTAGTACAATGTTTCTTAATATCATCGGAGGTCCAGCTAGATAATTGCAGTCAATCATCATTGAGTGAGAAAACTGGTAATAATCGCCAGGTGGATGCGGCTGTATCTGTGGCCGTGATACGCGAAAATGGCGGTTGCGCCCGGTAAGAATAAATTGAAAATGGGCAGTGCGGGCCGATACTACGGTGCTTATCTCATCTACGACGTGGCAAACTCATGCCTCGCCGCCTTGCACGCCAAGATGCCTCCTCCGGTCGTCGTCACGCGAACCAACCCTCCGTCTCCTGTGCACGTCCAGAACCCCCGTAAGTTTTCTTCGTCTTTTCTATATTTCTCCGTTTGTGTGACTGGCGCTTCGGTAACGCAATGGCGATTGCAGATGTTTGATTCCCTCGATTTTCCTCGCATTTCAGCAATTAAATTTTTCCTTCTAAATGGATTTCTTTAGAGAAGATTTAGTGATGGAGTTGTTAAGGTAATAATGCAAGATGGAGATATTTCATGATTTGTTTCGTGATTTTTTCAAATCATGATGGTATAACACTTTGACGATTAATACAAAATGCTCCATCATTTTAATTCAAACATAACAAAAAAGGATCATGTATAAAAGTTATATAGATGTTTTATAAATAAATGTAAATATTCTATAAAGAAATTAGAATTGACTTTGAAATAAATTATATGTAGATTATACGAGTGCTGTAAGAAGACATGTTCTGATGTCAGCTATGAGATTAATAGGGATACAAAAATAGCCAAACCGTTGTTGTTCATCGTTACTGAGATATGAGAGCCCGTTTGGATAGTTAATGGCAGGATCTTTCCGGTTGCATGTTTCGAACCGATTAGAACCAAAAGAAAAAGGAAAAGAGGAGGAGGATATTAGATGAACAAACGTGTAAAAATAAAAATTTTTAGCAGTAACGGTCTTGTTAACATTATCAAGACGATTTACCGGACAAGCATTGCTTATCGCTTTGTGTTAACAACTATACCTGAACAATTATTCTGGCTGAAATATTATATATGAAATATTGTATATAAAACTATATCTTAGCTAAACTTATTTATGTACATTTATTACATTTGCGTTGTACGTAAGTAGAGACGCATAATTATATTATGCGGAGTGAGTTACATTCAAGATTACAATACTTTTAATTACATTAATGTAACACGAAAATGCCTGTGCTCATAACACAATGCCATCGCATTTCCGTGCGCAGTCCGGCACGAGATTGTACTTGCATTTTTAACCCTGGGGCAGATAAAATCTAAATACGGCGTCTCTCGAAAAATTCGAATCAATTTCACGTAGTAGGCGAGGCGCTGTACGGTATACTAAACAGTTCCACGCCCGTTTCCGCACAAACGACTTTTAAGGCAATATCGATAACATTAAATATTCACTACCCAAATACGTCCAAAGCTGATGTCTTATTCAAAGAAATAGCGGCGTAACAGCGTGCATGCGAGTGCAGTGTACATTATTCTCATAACCGTATGCTGCGGCAATGCGTAGTAAACTGTTTTCAATGGCGAATATCGCTGTATAATATCGCGATATGAACTAATACTGATGGTTGGTATAACTTGAGGAAAGCTTCTTATAACAGCTATATACCGCTCCACGGGTGATGGTAGCATGTTTAAGAAAACATATTTTTTAACATTAAGCAGAAGAGAGAGAGGAGAGGAGATTTTTAGACTGACAAAATTGAATTTCTTTTACACATTATTTTTGAACATTATATCGTCGTTTAACATTTTGAATGAGATAATGCTATTTAAATAGACGAAGCAAATTCATAATTTTAATTATACAATAAATGATTTGTCCTGTTAAATTTAAACATATAATAACAAAAATTGTATTTATTTAATTTAATCACTCAATAATAATTCAATCACTTCATTTATCTGTCGCATATATTTATCATCAATTTCTGTGTGGCTAACGTATAAACGTGTCCCTTGTTCATTGTTTGGACATAGATATTTCACGCTAACAATTTTTTTTTCTCTTGAACATCTACCCTTGTCAACGATACTGGGCAGCGACCGATAATACGCGACAAACTCAATAATACATCAACATCCGAGATACGTCCGGCCGCACTTTCTCCCTCCACTACTTCTCTCGACACCTGCTTTCGCGTCCCTTATCATATTTTATTTTCTTTCTTTTCCTTTATACTGCCAACAGTCGGCCAGGTAAGGAAGTAAGAAGGCATAGATGCCGGTGTAAGAAAGGGTGGAAACACCCTATGAGACGGGATAGCGTGTCTGTTTTGATTTATAAGAATTCGCCACGAACCCCTAACCCACCTTTCTAAGTCTGGCCTCACCCCCGGGCTCTCATAGATCGAGCTAGATCAACCCCCACCCCTTCAACCTATCTCGCGCGTGAATAATAGGCAGATACCCTACTACCCATCGCTCCACCAACCTTGCCACGATTTTCTTCCCTCATTCCCCGCTCTCTATCTCTTTCTCACTTTTTCTCCCATTCTTTTTTCATTCGTTTCTATCGCGTTCCGATCGCGCGCCGATCGTTCTTCTCGCGAACGACGGACGAGCTTCATCTCGTTGCTGGTCAATGAAACGATCTATCAACGTTTGTGCCAGAACAAGAACTGTTACAAAACATTAGCGAGTCATGAAAGATTTTGCATCGCCCGTTTCGCGAAGGTATACACGGATCGGGGACACGTCATCAATCTTTTTACTTCGCGCGCGTCGGTCCGGTTCCAACGCGGCTGGAGATGAGTCGTGATATCCGAGAGACGAGTCGTGCTAATTTGCAGATGTCGCGCTCTCACATTGATAAATAGAAGGTATCATTTTTCGGTGGAGTTACATAGATCTGTTATTACTGCTCTTCAATGGATGAAGATTTTATTGCTTAAGAAGATGCATCTCTATTTTGAAGAAAGATTAATGAATTTAGTGCTTTTTTATATTAGATTTTTTTTTTGTATTCTGTCAAATTATTAATATTTTTTATGATCTTTAAGTTTATAAAGAGCACGAAGATATCACTTTTTTGTAGATTTATTTATTATAACAGAAAATATCAAGATCATAAAATCCTAATTTTTTATAAGAAAATTAATTACGTTTTATGATGATTATATTTTTCTCTCTCTCTCTCTCTCTCTCTCTCTTTCTCTCTCTCTCTCTCTCTCTCTCTCTCTCTCTCTCTCT